AAGGCGGCCGTGCTGGGCTGGGGACGGTCCCCGTGCGGCTTCGCAGCGCTCCGGAGCTTTTGTCCGGAGCTTTTTGTCTGGGGAGGGCAAGCGGGACCCCAGACTGCGCTGCCGGCACGGAGGAGGAGTTTGGGGGCCACTCAGGGACTCGGCAGCCTCCCCTCCCCCCCCGGCTTCCCTTTCTGTCCCCACTTTTTCCCCCTTTCTAACATCATGTTGTGTGCAGCTGCCTCATGGAAGGGGAAAAAGCAGTCGCTCATCTCGTGGAGACTCCCCTGAACGACACGGACACCCAGGAGCAACAGAAAGAGGGTGAAAATGGAGCCGAGAGAGCAGCAGCCGCAGAGGAGCTGGCAGAGACCAGGGACACGGGGGACAGCGGGGCTCCCCCGGGGACTCTGCGCCCAGACCAGGACGTGCCACGTGTGAACCACCGGGACGGTGAGTGCTGGGGGTGACAGGGGCTGAGACGGGGCATGCACGGACCCGGGATCCTGCAGCATCATTCCCCCTGAAAACTGGGATCAACGTGCCCCCACGCCGGGGTCTGGGTGCAGGCGGGGTGCTTGCCGTGCCGGCTGGGTCTCCTTGTGCCACGTGCGGAGCCCATCCTGCTCCCCAAAAAGCAGAAGTGAGGTTCCTAATGGCCGCCCTTGTTTTGTAGGTGCAGCAGAGACTCTCCTGAAGCCCTCGACTGCCTCGATGGACAGGCAGAGGAGCACCGAGCTCTTGGCCCTGGACAGTGAGTGTTGCAGAGCCTGGTGCTCACAGATGCTCAGGCACAGCCCCAGTGGGAGACAAGCGTGGGAGAGGTCATCTGGGTCTCCCATCCCACAAAGGCAGCTAGAAAAAAGTCTTTTTACTGCTGCTGGTCCCTCCCATAATGTGGCAAGGCCAAGTCCACATCCAGACTTTGGTGATGACTTGTGGCAGCAGTGAGAGGTCGCTGCAGCTCCACGCAGAGGAACTGGAGATAAATTCTTTTCATATACTTTCCTAATTAAACTACAAATTGCTTGTTGAAAACACATTCAGATTTCCAAGTGGAGCTCTTCAAGGGTAGGGAACATGAGGATGAACTTGAGTGCATCCCCCAGGATGTCCTCTGCAGTATATCGTTTGCAATTATACCATTATTGCCAGATCTCTGCCTCCCGCCGTGCCCCAGATGGACCCTGCCCCTCCTTGGGCAGCTGTTTGGGCTGTTTTATCAGCTGTTGGTCCCTGTGCACTGGTCAAACCTCATCCTTCAGGCTCTTCACTTGCAAGGGAATAATTCTTTATGTGCAGGGACAGGAGGGAAGAGCTTCAAATAAGTCGCATGAGACCTGAGCTTTCATGAAGCTCTTGGCTTCAAGTCAGTGTAGTTCCTCCCTGTGCACGGAGGAGACGTGCCCTGACTCTCTCCTCTCTCTGGAACAGGTTTCCCCCTGAAGCACTCGAACACGCTGACGAACCGGCAGCGAGGCAACGAGGTCTCTGCCCTCCCAGCCACGCTGGACAGTGAGTACGGGCGGGCAGAGCGGCGTGTGTGTCTCCCACACCAATGGACGTGGGATGTGGAGGGAGCAGAGGGACAGTGGGGCTGGAGCCTCCCTCCATCTCCTGCTGCCACACAGCTCAGTGCCCACCGGCCTTGTCTCTCGGGCTGCTCCCTCCAGTGCTGCTGCTCTCAGCTCTCGCCCTGGCTGGCCGTCCCCGCTGCTAAACAGCAGAAGGGTGTTAATTACCCATCAGGTTTTTTGGGGCTCAGATGCGGGCTGGCCACTTACCGCCTCCCCAGGCTTGCAGGGACCCACCTGCAGACAGTGGGTGCTGAACTGGGGAGACATTTTATCCTGATGGGTGAATTCTTTCTGTCCCCCAGCATTGTCCATCCACCAGCTTGCTGCCCAAGGTGAGCTCAGCCAGCTGAAGGAGCACCTTCGGAAGGGTACGTGTCTCTCGGGGCTCTCACCCCAGATCACGCAGTCCTGCCACGTCATAGCACACTCAGAATCACCAAGGTTGGAAAAGACCTTGAAGATCCTCCAGTCCAAGCATTTAAAAAAAAAATCCCAGAAAGAGTGGTCAGACAGTGGAATAGGCTGCCCAGGGGGGGTGGAGTCCCCATCCTTGGGGGGGTTTAAGGATCATTTGAATGAGCTGTGGGGGCATGTGGGGTAGGGGAGAACTTTGTAGAGTTTTCCAACCTGAATGATTCTGGGATTAACCTCACCCTGACCATTCCCAACCCCACCAGATCCCTCAGTGCTGGGTCAGCCCGACTCTTCAACCCCTCCAGGGATCCCGGGGACTCCCCCCTGCCCTGGGCAGCCCATTCCAACGCCCAACAGCCCCTTCTCCAAAGATATACTTCCTGATATTTACTCTTTGATAAACCCTCAGCCTAGTCCTTTACTGGGTTTACTGGGAGGACAGGGAGCAGAGGGGGCTTTACCCTCCCTGTTTACGATGTCTCGTCCATGTCTGTGCAGGTGAGAACTTGGTAAATAAACCTGATGAGAGAGGTTTCACACCTCTGATCTGGGCTGCAGCCTTCGGAGAGATCGAAACGGTCCGTCACCTGCTGGAATGGGTAAGGCCACGGTCACGCAGCACCTGGTTAACAGGAGACTTCCCATCTCTGATCCTGGCAGCCGCCAAATTGTCCAGCACCATCCTGGTACCATCTCAGCCAGTTCTTCCCATAGCACCAAACAGGACTCAGCTGCAGAGCTAACAGCTTGGATGCTGCTCCCCACTGGGCTGTGAGCTAAGTCAGGAGCATGAAGAGCTTTATCTCACAGCCAGCAATAACTGTTTGTAATTAAATATCTGCTTATTGGTAATTTGAGATCAAGCTTATCACTTGGGCCCTGTAATCTGCCAGCAAATGTGCTCGCCGAGGTGTCGTTGCAGTTAATGAACTCTTTGCTGCTTCGTCCTTGAGTGCTGGGCTTGCAGCTGAGGTCTGTCTGGGGCTGAGCGGGAACCAGATCCTCCTGCGCTCTGGATCAAGCTGCTCCCCAAAGCTCAGTCCCCCGTCTGCGTGTGTCCAAGGATCAGCGAGCACTCGCACCTCCTAAGCCCTGGCGAAACGCTGGCTCTGTTGCTGTTTTAACAGCAACATTGCAATCTTGTTACCAGAGGAACTAACAACCCAAAATAAAGAGGCGATACCTTGGTAAAGGCTGTAATGATGTCCAGGAGAGGTCCGTGGCTGGCAGGGCTTGGAGGACAGGGAGGTTTTGTAGGTAATTCAGTAACAAAAGAGAGGGTGGGTATTGTACTGGTGTCTAGACAGGGCTGGTAACACAGTTCTGAGTGCTGGGAAAAGGGCTGAGTGACAGGAACCGTCAGGTGTAGTTTACTGACACTGGAGAAGGGCTTTTAAGTCCTCACCTGAGACGTCGGGGACTCTGCAAGGGGAGGTCACTGGGGGTGCGTGAGCTGTCTCAGCCCCACCAGGCCGCTGGGCCCTGGCTCCGTGCTCAGCCCCCCTGGGGCACCCAGCAAGGCTGTGCTGAGCACCCCAGGTCTCAGCAGGGCTCCTGCACCCCGCCGGGGCTAACGCCTGCGCTGTCCCCAGGGCGCTGACCCCCACGCGCTGGCGAAGGAGCGGGAGAGCGCCCTGGCCCTGGCCAGCATGGGCGGCTACACCGACATCGTGGTCATGCTGCTGGAGAGGGATGTGGACATCAACATCTACGACTGGGTGAGTGCCACCGGGCACAGGCTGCTGTGGGGACCATGCTGGGAGTGACACCAAGCCCCCCGGGGCTCCACCAAGCTCATTTTAAAAAAACAGCAGCGAGTTCGCACCGTTCTGGGCTGAGCCTCTCTCCTAGATGCTTCGCAGCGATCGTCTGCCTGCTCGTGTTTTGAGAAATTAATCTGGCTAATAATTTTAAATGGTTTCCTCAGTTGTTCACACTGGTGATGTTAGCAGCCACAAGGAAACAGCGCCCAGAACTTAAGGTTGTCTTTAAAATTACACAATTTAAAAGTTATTGTATTGCATACAGAGAAAAAAAAACTGAGCAGAGACGCTCTGGGAGAAAACACCCAGCCCGGAGCTGGGAGAGGGTGGGAAGGGGATCCCAGTGGGTTGGGGACCTACTGCTGTGGGAGAAGCTGGAGGTGCGTGAGCACGGCCCCGCGCCAGGCTGGCAGTGACGCAGCCCCTTCCCTTTCCCTGCAGAACGGCGGCACTCCCCTGCTCTACGCCGTGCGCGGCAATCACGTCAAGTGTGTCGAGGCCCTACTAGGTAACGGGGGAAGATCTGCACTTAGTCCTTGGCCTCGAATCCGCTGCCCGTTGGTAACCGCCTCGGGGAGAGAGCGGGACATGCCTGGGGGGAGAAACTGAGCAGCTCCCCACTCATGGGGGGCTGCCCAGCCAGGACGGGCACCTTTTTGGGGTCCCCTGAGCCGGAGGGGGACGCCACGTCGGCCGGGGAGCGCCGTGCCCTGATCTCCACTGCCTGCTTGCAGCTCGTGGCGCTGATCTGACGACGGAGGCAGATTCTGGCTACACGCCGATGGATCTCGCCGTGGCCCTGGGACACAAGAAAGGCAAGTGTCCCCTCCGTGCCTGGCAGGGAGCCCGCCCTTCCCTTCCCAAAAACTCTCCAGGCAATTCCCACCTTCCTCCCTTGCTCAGGGCTTTTTTTTTGACCTTCCACCACTGCTCCCTGCTCTGAAAACGAGCCAGAGAAATCAAGATGGGTCCCGTTCCCCTTGCTCCCCCTCCAAGTCAGAGCAGTGCTAGAGATCGGGCTGGGACAGGGGACGTGGGGACAGGCCCCTGGAAAAAGAGGTTTTCCAGCCTCTCACTGGAAAACAGCAGCAAAACGCTGACCAGGTCCTGCCCACAGCAGCGGGCTTCACTTCTCTCCCCTCCCTTAGTCCAACAGGTGATCGAAAATCACATCCTCAAGCTATTCCAGAACAAGGAGCAGGAGTGATGCAGCCACTCGCGCTGCACTGCTGCAGCGCCAGCGCTTCTCCCGGCCCACACAGGACCCTCCTCTGGGACCACCACGGCCTCACCCAGCCGTCCCACAATGAACGGGGCAGCGGCACGATGCCTCCAGCAAGAAGCACGTGGAGGATGCCAGGAACCTCGGTGGATCTGTGCCTCTCCGCGACGGCCACGGTCCCCTGCACCCGGGGACACTCATTCCTCAGAGCAGCTGCATTTCTGCCCTGTCCGGGCTCGGCTGCTTGTGCGTGTGTGCGTTCAGGTATTGCATTATTGGAATTAAACTCTAAAGCAGCTGCGTGGAGCCCTGTCTGTTGCCTCGGCCTCTCACAGCAGCCAGTCCCCAATCCCAGTACCAGCTACTGGGGAACAGCAAGGGGAACTGGGCCAACCAACCTCTCCAAAGCCTGCGCCCCGCCAGTGTGCTGCGATTCTTCTCCAGATCTGTCTCACTGAAGAGGGAAGCTCCCTCTTAACGCCCACAAACTTGCCAAGCCCTCTCTGCACGCAGCCAGGGAAACATCCACAGGCAGAAGCAAAACCCTGCGGGAAGCATCACCCTGCCAGCCAGGAACACAGCACGGCCTCGGCCGACAGACACGATCCTGAGCCGGAGCCCAGTGAGGCCACAAACAGCCGCTCCAAGAAGTTCAGGGGTGGTTGGCAAAGGCAAGAGGCAGCCAGAGCCCCCGGCACACGGAGGGGACTTTCCTCCTCTCTCCTGCTCAAGCCACGCACCGGCGCGGCCATGGCAAACCCCGGAGGGCTCGGTCTCGGGGTGCCACTTCCCCAAGGAGCAGCCGTAAAGGAGCAGGGACACGATTTATTCAGCCGGTGACACAAATTATGTCCCACGGGGATCTCTGCTCTGTCACTGCCATGCCGTGGGGCTGGAGTCCCCTCTCAGCGCCTTGGGGTGCGATTGGGGGCAGCACCTCCCCGCTGGCAGGGTTTACTGTCCTGTTTCCCCCCACGCAGCAGAGCCCCAGCGCAGGCAGTGGGGTGCAGCCCCCCACGCTGTCCCTAGAGCCTCTCCCCCAGCACCCCGAGGTGATACACCACGATCCTCCCGAAGAAGTCTGTGCTGTTCTCAAAGGTGATCTTCAGCTTATCCAGCTCCGTCTCCTTGACCTGGAATCTGTGCGGGGGCCGTAAAGGAGAAAAATAGGCAGGAGGATGCTACAGGCCTGGGGAGGGGTGGCTGGAGAGCTGCTGGTCAGAGAGGGACCTGGGGGCATTGATAATGAGCCAGCAGTGTGCCCAGGGGGACAAGGAGGCCAGTGGCATCCTGGCTTGTGT